AAGGTCAACTATTATGCAAAATCCACTTTTTCCTGTGTTTTATACATCAACATGTCCCCCCCCCCTCTGTGGAAAGAGATTCTGAAAGTTTCAGGAAAAAAGATTCGCTCACTTTTCTATCCTGAACCATTTACATAAAAACCTGTCTGAAAATGAGCTGATCAGATTTTGGCCACTTTATGATGTCATAACGATTTGTTGGCTTGTGTAACCATTAGCCAATCACCAACCAAGGTACCCCCCCACCTTATCACCTGAATCTCCTCCTAGAGCACCATTGTGTTCTTTTTAACCAAATATCTCTCAGCGGGGCGTGGGGAGGGGCTCCTTGTTTCCATCTAAAGTAACAGACAGAGAATCAGCACTTTGGAAACAGTATTTCGAGCCAAACACTTCAGAGACGTTTTGTATATATCTGAGACCTATAATAAGGTAATGAAAAACAGTATCATAGGGATCTTTAATACAAACATTCCTGCAGATTGGAAGACTGGATGTCATTTTTTGTCACATACGTAATATAATAGTGAATCCATGAATTACATTTGTACAGAGCATGAATTAGAGGTCACTTTGCTGGGCTGTCTGTCTGCGTACTGCGAGCATGCTCAGATAATCAGTGTTTTCTGCATCTCCTTCACTGTTTGAAGTCATTAGCATGTAGAGCGAGAGGTGCGGAGTCTCTGCCAACTCTCCGCATGTATAATGCATGCTTTCTTGAAAATCTGTCACTGTGGTCCTCTGTTAACATCACTTTGTATGTTCCCTACCCTCTCCAACTCTCAAGTCTTGGCCGTTTTCTCTCCTTTTTACCCCCCGCCTTCCTGTGTGCTGCTCATCTCCCTCACCCTTACAGTCTCTTCTCCCCCCCTAAACCCCCCCTCTCTCTCTCTCTCCCACAGGACATAGAGGAGACGATGAACACCGCCCTGAATGAGCTGCGCGAGCTGGAGAGACAGAGCTCGGCCAAGCACGCCCCCGACGTGGTGCTGGACACCCTGGAGCAGCGGCAGACCTCCGGGGGCAGCGGGGGGGGTCCCACGCCGGCCAGCTCCAGCGAGTCCCTCAGCCCCATCCACGGCGTCACGCTGAGGTCCACCGCCAACACGGAGCCGCCCATCCGCCGCAGCACCAGCTCCTCCAGCGACACCATGAGCACCTTCAAGCCCCTGGTGGCGCCCCGCATGGGGGTACAACTCAAACCCCCCGCCCTGAGGCCCAAGCCCATGGTCCTGCCCAAGACCAGCCAGGCCTCGCCGCCTCCACCCACGTCTGCTCAGGACCCTTTGGACAAGTCCTGCACCATGTGACCACCGAGGTGGAAATGTAAAGCAAAAACCCTCGAATTCCAGGAGCTGCAAAATGATACCAATGTCTTCATCGATTTACAGAACATACTATCTGAGAACGTGTAAATTACCTGGACAGGAAAATACATTTGAAAGCATCATAAAGAGGACAGGAGTATGCTAACAGACCTCCAGTTATGTGTTAATATGCTTAGGTTAATATTATCTAACTTTTTTTTCCTTCTGTTTTGTAAAGACATTCAAACAACAAATCACAGAGGCTTCCTTCATGATTTTAGACAAATATACACAAGGTAGTTTAGTTTACAGACATTCATGAACTTTGAACACGCCGCATGTAGCTCCCGTTTACCACTGAACCTGAAGCGGTGGCGTCTCACTCCAGATTATGATTTGTTTTACTTTTTGCTCTCCTATAGCAGAGCCAGTGAAGGTGTTTTGAACTGGTTGAAAGGCCTTACTAACTGATTCCAGACATATTATTAAGTTGCTGTGACTACCTGGAGAGAAAGGGTGTGAAGGTTGGACTGATTGAAACCCTTAACGGTACTTTGTTAATAGATGATAGTACTGATAGCAGCGTGTTTTCTTCACTAGCGTACACACTTACTTTTGCCAAGGCATACCATCTCCTGTGTTTCAGAAACTTCACCTCCGTGCTGGATTCACTTACATTTATTTTGAACATATTGCCTGGAAGGAGATATGACTATTGGATTAAACCACTACTTCACTATGTTTGATGCATTTTTTAATTCAGGCATACAATAAGCCTAATAATAAATTAAGCCTTTGCATCTGTATAACAAAAGTGTGAAAAACGATGACAAATGATCTCCTTTAGAGTATACTAAACAAAGCTATATGTGGAACACGGCATAGCTTCTTTTACGCCTTGCTTGGCTTTACCTACCCAAAGATATGACCGTACACAGCATGGATGGTGTCCCTCCTTGTATGATGTAGCCGTTCTTCATAGTCCCGTGTGTATAGACTCATGGCGGGAGCGCTGCCGGTAGCCATGGACCTGATGACTGTTAGCGTGAAAGCCAGATGCTTGTCCTGAAACAAGCTAACTGCTAACTTGTGTCTGTTTTATGTTCAGGTGAGACTGTCAATATTTCTTTTCTTTTTTTATTGTCCTCCTGGATTTTCTGCGTTTGTGGATGACACCTCTAAATGCTTGACATGTGGCAGAAAACAGGATCAATGATGAACAACCAGTGTGTGTGTAGAGTTACATGCAAATGCAGTAGCCCCATAAAGCTGTCTGTGCCAGAGCGGCAACTGTGTGACTGCGACCCTGATGTCTTTAGTTTTTAATAACCTCAGTACTTGTAGAGAAGAAACAAACTGGGTGGATGTCCTCCTGGGATTGTTTGTCTAGCTGCGCATAATAACACCCACAACACTTTCTAATAGCAGGTTTACACTATTTTTGACGTGTGTGTATAATAATTAAAAAGATGATTCATTTCTGATTTACTAACTTTCATTATTTTTGTGACCATTTTTGTTTCTGGGTAGAAACGACTTGATGTAGAATAAATATCCAGAGATACAGTATGAAGCCAGTTGTAAAAAAAAAAATGAAGAAGTGCTTTTGTCACTATGTTGTTATCATCAACAGTAGGACTCATGCCCTGTGTAGGCTTTAAGCTGTAGTATGTAGGGCCTACATCTGTAGTATGTACTTGTGAAAGTGCCTTTAAAAATGTTTTAGAGGAACTTCAGACATTCTGTTAAATGTTCACGTCGACGCAGAAGAAAACACATGAATTAGTAACAATGCCATTTTCTCACAGCGGTTGTATGACAGAGTTAATCATAAATAAACAGCTTACCCATTGTGACATTGCACTTTTATGTATATAACTGTATATATGGCATGTAACATCATAACGTAGAGTTCTCTGAGGGCTCATACCTCCGAGGATTTCTTTCTAATAAAGGAAATAGTTTGTCGAGTTTGAGGTGATTTTTTGCATTTTATATTGAGTAAATTCGGCTACTTATTGTCAGTGATGGAAACCGATTACTTAACATACATAACTTACATAACCCATTACAAGAAAATGAATGACATCCAAACATTTGTGTGGCAAGAGAACCCTTTGTAATAACCTGCATTTATGTTTACATTTGTGCTAAAACAAGGTCTGATCTTCATCTGAATTGCAATAATGAATGAACACAAATGATTGCTTGTGCTTGTCCATATTTAAAACCTAATTTAAACATTCACAGTGTAGGTTGGAAAAAATATTTGAACCCCTATACTTAAACAAAAGCTAATCTGGTTAGGACTTAGCACACCTCGTTTTATTCTGTGAAAGTGTGGATTAAGCTCTCAAACATTTAATTTTCTGTTCACAATCTGCTGATGTGAACCATGCCTGGCAAAAAAGAGATCTCAGAAGACCTACAATCAAGAATTGTGGATTTGCATAACGCTGGAGAGGGTAACAAAATAATCTCTAAGAGTTTAGATATCCATCAGTGCAGTTAGACACATGTTCTATAAATGGAGACAAGTCAGTACTGTGGCCCAGCAAAGATGACTTCAAAGGCAAAACGCAAAATAGTCGATGACATTAATAGGTAAGTAAGATTTAAAGGCTTAAATGTATCATTAGAACCAGTTAAAATCTCATTTCATGCAAAGATCGTTGCAGTGAGCTTTATTCCCAACAGTGGGTGAACAAGTTGAAAAAAACCACATCAATAGAGCATAAAACACGTAATTAATTGAGTACATCATAGTGATGGCATAGTAACCAATACACTGTGAGGAATACATCATTTATCAAAATAATTCAGTATACAATGATTGTTTAGTGATTGAGGCAACAGGGCTTGATGGAGCGTGGATTGAGATTAATAGAAGATCTACAGTACAGTTCATTCTTCATGCAAACATCTCTCCTGTACAGGGGGGAAAACTAAGACTTCAAGGTTGTATTCCCCGAACACTTTCTAAAAAGTATTAAAGGTCACCTATTATACAACATCCACTTTTTCATGTCTTTTATACATAAACACGTGTCCCCTCTGTGGAAAAAGATTCTCTTTCTTTGTGTCCTGATCCTTTTATATAAAAACCTGTCTGAAAATGAGCTGATCAGATTTTGGAAACTTTGTGATGTCATAACGATGTTTTGGTTTGTGTAACCATTAGCCAATAGCCAACCAAGGTAACATCCCCCACCTTATCACCTGAATCTCCTCCTAGAGCACCATTGTGTTTGCAGCAGTAGCACAGTCTCCTTCTCTGGTGCTCTATGTGCGGTGTTCTCTATGTGCGCTCTATGTGTTCTCTATGTGCGGTGTTCTCTATGTGCGGTGTTCTCTATGTGCGGTGTTCTCTATGTGCGGTGTTCTCTATGTGTTCTCTATGTGTTCTCTATGTGTTCTCCATGTGTTCTCTATGTGTTCTCTATGTGTTCTCCATGTGTTCTCTATGTGTTCTCCATGTGTTCTCCATGTGTTCTCTATGTGTTCTCCATGTGTTCTCCATGTGTTCTCTATGTGTTCTCCATGTGTTCTCTATGTGTTCTCCATGTGTTCTCCATGTGTTCTCTATGTGTTCTCCATGTGTTCTCCATGTGTTCTCTATGTGTTCTCCATGTGTTCTCCATGTGTTCTCTATGTGTTCTCCATGTGTTCTCCATGTGTTCTCTATGCGCGGTGTTCTCTATGTGCGGTGTTCTCTATGTGCGGTGTTCTCTATGTGCGGTGTTCTCTATGCGCGGTGTTCTCTATGTGCGGTGTTCTCTATGTGCGGTGTTCTCTATGCGCGGTGTTCTCTATGTGCGGTGTTCTCTATGTGCGGTGTTCTCTATGTGCGGTGTTCTCTATGCGCGGTGTTCTCTATGTGCGGTGTTCTGCTATGTGCGGGAGCTTCACTGGGATGTGCTGCTCTGCAGGTCTCGCTCCAGCCTCAGCTCTGCACACGGCAGGAAGAGAGGCTGTCTGTGCGCTGCGGACTGTAGAGCGGGTCTTCAAGGCCATCTGGGGAAAACAGAGAAGAGAGAGCCCACTGTTTTGGTTCCTCTCGCAACAGTTTGTTATGCAGCTGGTATGAGTGGGTGTGGTATGATAAAACAAAAGAAGATAAACAACACTTCAAATCATATCATCAAGTGTCGGAGAGTCCTGGAGAGAATTCCAAAGATAGCGGGTCTTTGGGAAAAATGAAATACTTACCTCAGCGATCCCAATTTTTCTATCCAGAGTGTGAATGCTCTGCTGCTGCTTCTTGTGTTTGCCCTTGACCTGCATGTACTCTGTGATACCAGGAGCCTGGTAATCTGTCATCTGGCGCCGCAGGTGCTGGTTGAGGGCCTCTGCCTTCAGACGCTCCTGAAGTACAAGGAACGAAGTACATTCACAGAACTAAGAGATAAATGAAGTTTATGGAGCATGGCCACGCCTCAACCCCATCTCTACTCCCAGCTGAGCATGTCAATTAAAAGACTAATGTCACAGCAGGATTTGGAAAAACTTGTCCATGCTTTTATCTTCAGTAGACTCGACTACTGCAATGGTGTCTTCACAGGTCTCACTAAAAAATCTATTAGAAAGCTGCAGCTGATTCAGAACGCCGCTGCTCGAGTCCTCACTAACACTAAGAAAGTGGATCACATCACTCCTGTTCTGAAGTCTTTACACTGGCTTCCTGTGTGTCAAAGAATAGATTTCAAAATACTGCTGCTGGTTTATAAAGCACTGAATGGTTTAGGCCCAAAATACATTTCTGACCTCCTGCTAAATTATGAACCATCCAGATCTCTCAGGTCTTCAGGGACTGGTCAGCTTTCTGTCCCCAGAGTCAGAACTAAACATGGTAAAGCAGCGTTCAGTTATTATGCTCCAAATATCTGGAACAAACTCCCTGAAACCTGCAGGTCCGCTGCAACTCTGACTACTTTTAAATCCAGGCTGAAGACTTTTCTTTTTGTCGCTGCTTTTAATTGAACTATTCATATCTTAAACTGCACTGTAACTTTGACTAACTTTGCTTTTTATCTTTGCTTTTAAATGAGTGTTTTTATATATCATTTTATAATATGTTTCTTAATGGTCTTAATGTCTTTATTTTTTGTAAAGCACTTTGAATTGCCTTGTGTTGAAAGGTGCTATATAAATAAACTTGCCTTGCCTTGCTATCCGGCCAAACATCCAGCCATTGCTTGTCTCCATTCTATCAACCCACCCTCCCTCTCCCTTCCACTCATACATTCCTACTTCTTCCTCATCCTAAGCCAAACCCCCTTCATCCCTCCAACCATCGACCCGTCATCGATTCCTCCCTACATCCATTCATCCCTTCTCCTTCCATCCCTTCTCCTTCCATCCCTTCTCCTTCCATCCCTTATCCTTCCATCCCTTATCCCTCCATCCCTTCTCCTTCCATCCCTTCTCCCGACATCCCAACATCCCTCCATCCCAACATCCTTATCCGTCCATCCCGAATCCTTTCATCCCTCATCCCTTATCCCTTATCCCTTATCCCTCATCCCTCATCCCGACATCCCTTCCTCCCTCCCTTCCCTTGTCCCTACATCCCCTCATCCTCTCCACCTGTCTCCACTCCTATTCAACTAGTTCATATTTTAAAATGTCTCATTCTAGCAACCATCTGGGGTCCCGTAATAAGCCCAAGCAAAATCATGACGGAGATTTAAACACCATTTTGAGTTTCCCTCTGCCAGGACCATTCGCCATCATCATTTCATCACCCCCCGGCCTCCATATCAATTCATTGTTACTTCCTTCATTAAACCTATAACATCATACTGTTGTGGCGTGGTCCTTGCTAGTGAAGTACAGTTTAAAAGAGGATAGAAGTATTAACAGATTCCATGGTTTTGGGTCTGCCGTGCATTATTCAATGCCCTCTGCCGCTCTGACAAACCTCCTCAGCGCGCACGATCTCCTCCTCAAGTTTGACCAGCATCTGCTTCTTCTTGGTGATGTCATCGCTCAGCTCTGTGGACTCTCGTGTCACACTCTGCAGCTTCTCCTGAAGACACACACACACACACACACACACACACACACACACACACACACACACACACACACACACACCACACACACACACACACACACACACACACACACACACACACACACACACACACACACACACACACACACACACACACACACACACACACACACACACACACACACACACCACATAAACTGGAGGGGACACCTTTAACATTATTATTGCTGTATTTCAAGCAAAGCTATGGAAGTATATTTTACAATGTTAACATAAAAAACCCGTTGCTACTGTAATTGTTAACAAGTCATTAATATTTCTTGTAATTATAGTTCATGATACAAGAAAAAGTCCCAACCTTTTTTTTTTTTATTGGGAAATATCCCACACATAAAAGATATTTGTTGTTACTGTGACAATCCAGATGGTGGTGCTCTTCACTATCTGATTAACTTTATTATTATGTATGCATGAACTGAATTATGTTATTTGATCACTCAGTTTATAAAACAACTGAAAAGGTTTTTAGAAAAACTGAATACGTTAATATATGTTATTCTCATTTGTTGTTATATAATTGTAATGTATGCTATTCGTATCTCATTGTATCAATTACAATTGTCATGGTACTATTGTTTACCTGAAGTTTTGGTAGAATATCCTTTTAGTCAATAGAAAAAAACACACTCATGCAGATTTAGAAGCTGGAGCTAAGTCAAGCTATACTGCAACATTTCATTTATCTACACTAGACAACACAGAGAGAACGACCTCTCTCACACATTGTAATGACTTACCTTGTGTGAACTGAGGACACGTTGTACTTTCAACTTGTTGACTTGAAGTTCATCCCGGTTTTTGTCTATTCTCTGCTCGCTGTACTCCTGAAAAATCTTCAAAAAACAACACACAGTAACTGACAAGCAGAGTGACACCCAATGATGATGGGTCATCATTGGTAACACTCTTTCTAGCCTTGTTAGCCCCTCTGGTTATAACCCTCACACTCTCATCATCTACCTCGTACTCGGCTTTCCCCGTCTCTTTCTTCTGTTGAAGCTGCTGCTGGAGCTTCTTCTCGTGGACCTTCAGTGCATGGTTCTTCCGAGTCAACTTCTCCACCTGTGTGACCTGTTTGTGAACAGAGCAGATCATGTGGATGAAAGTTGGAGGATGGTAAATATGGGTAGGGGTTGTAAAAGTACAGAAAACATGAGGAAGAAACCTATTATGCTCATTTTCAGTTTCATATTTATATTGTGTGCCTCTACTGTGACATGTTTCCATGCTTTAATGTTCAAAAAGGTCTTTGATTTTCTCATACTGCCTGTGCTGCAGCATTTCTTTTCACCCTCTGTCTGAAACCAGAGCCCAGTTTGCTCTGATTGGTTAGCTGGCCTGCTCTTTTGTGATTGGTCAACCGCTAAGAGATGTTCCACCCTTAGCCTATCAAACGCAATGTGTTGGCCTACTAGCTAGTAGAAGTGGAGTGTTACGTAGTAATGTTTCTATGTTACGTAGTAATGTTTCTGTGTTACGTAGTAATGTTTCTATGTTACGTAGTAATGTTTCTGTGTTACGTAGTAATGTTTCTATGTTACGTAGTAATGTTTCTATGTTACGTAGTAATGTTTCTACGTTACGTAGTAATGTTTCTGTGTTACGTAGTAATGTTTCTGTGTTACGTAGTAATGTTTCTGTGTTACGTAGTAATGTTTCTGTGTTACGTAGTAATGTTTCTATGTTACGTAGTAATGTTTCTGTGTTACGTAGTAATGTTTCTGTGTTACGTAGTAATGTTTCTGTGTTACGTAGTAATGTTTCTGTGTTACGTAGTAATGTTTCTGTGTTACGTAGTAATGTTTCTATGTTACGTATTAATGTTTCTATGTTACGTAGTAATGTTTCTGTGTTACGTAGTAATGTTTCTGTGTTACGTAGTAATGTTTCTGTGTTACGTAGTAATGTTTCTGTGTTACGTAGTAATGTTTCTATGTTACGTAGTAATGTTTCTGTGTTACGTAGTAATGTTTCTGTGTTACGTAGTAATGTTTCTGTGTTACGTAGTAATGTTTCTATGTTACGTAGTAATGTTTCTGTGTTACGTAGTAATGTTTCTGTGTTACGTAGTAATGTTTCTATGTTACGTAGTAATGTTTCTATGTTACGTAGTAATGTTTCTATGTTACGTAGTAATGTTTCTGTGTTACGTAGTAATGTTTCTAAGTTACGTAGTAATGTTTCTGTGTTACGTAGTAATGTTTCTATGTTACGTAGTAATGTTTCTATGTTACGAAAGAAAACAAAGGACAACAAAGGAGGCATTTCATGACATCATTTGACGAAAATAATAACAGAATAAAATCTAAATATCTTGAAATTGTATAAAATGTTTGAATTATGAGAGGTAAATTAAAACTATACACTTTGAACAACTGCAAACATAATGCCATCTTTTGCAAGTTAAAATGAGTAGCCACGTTTTGTTTCAAAAACAGTGTTTATGCTACTTTTCAAAGGTCATTAGACAGAACCCTATTTTTTACCTTTGACTTGTCTTCGATGTACCGGAGCAGCTTGTTGGGCTCCATCATTTCCAACCTTTTGTCCTTCATAGGTTTGACCATTCTGCGTTCAAAGTCGATCTTAGCCTTCCTGATTTCGGCAAGACGCAAATCTGCTTCTTCCATAGAGGCCTGGAGATACAAGCAGAGTTACCAGGGGACATTTTTTGTAGGCGTGCATTGTTTTTTTTGTGCAAGTGTGTATTAAAACCTTGTAGTTGTCCTGAATTTGGTCATGTCTCTGTTTGAGTTTCTCCTGGTCCTGTCGTGTCTCTGCTACTTCTCTCTGTGCCACATAAAGTTTCTGTTCCAAGGTCAGCTGCTGGAGGCGATCCGATATGTTGGACTGGGACCTCCGCCTCGGTCCACCACCCTGACAAGGCACATTTACAAAATGAGAAGCGGAGTGCAGAGAGGTCATCTGTCCGGCAACATATTTAGAATCAGGATTGTACCTGAGATTGTGGCAGGCTAATATGTTAATATGAAGCAATAGCTATCACACTTTTAACCCAGAAAGTATTAAGTGACTTTACTCAAGAATAATTTACGTATCTTGATTTTTGTGTTGTAGTAGTAAAGGAGTTTTGTTCTCATTGGTTAGAACTTACCCCACCCTCCAGCTGGGAGTCTCCTGCTGCCCCCGAATCGTCCCCACCAGCTTGAGACACCAGGTCCTGAGGATCCAGTCGACCGATGAACCGCTCCAACATGTCGATCTCTGCCAGGAGGGCTGCATTGGAACATCTCGGGGTAAAAGTGACTTTTATAGTCAGGTCAAGATAATGCTTGATAATGGTTTGTTTGTAGTTTAAGGTTTGTAAGGTGAACATTTTAACTTAAACACCTGTAAAATATAAGCTATTGACTCACTACTGATAATTCATCAAGAAAAACAGAAGCTCAACTTGTTATTTTGTAGTAGTTAACATAATAAAATGCAGAAGACCTGAACAACATGTCATAATGTAAGTAACCTATCCAAGTTTGTGCCTGTACTTCCTCTACTCTTAGCTAACAGTTATGAGTAAACGACTAAATAGAAAGCTACATTAAGCTTGTAACATTTCCATGCTAAATTAACTATTTTTCTCAATACTAACTAAGCTACATTGCTAGTTCAACCTTGTTAGCAATGTTAGCCCATTGTTAGCAACAAAATAGGCAAACTAATAAAGCCAATTTTAGGTTAACAAAGTTCACGGTTGACCTACAAGGTGTTGTTGAGTATATGTTTTCCTTACTTGAGTTCTTTGACTTGGTTGTAGAGGAGTTCCTTCTGTTCTTGAGTGACCTCTTTGCCTTTTTCTTCCATTAACGAAAGCTCACCCTCCATGGTTGCTATGGTACACGTAACTCTAGTAGTGGTTGCTAGGGCTCGTGATGCCTTCAGGGGCTCGCCTAACCCTCTGTAATCAGTTAATTTCGCAAAGAATAATACAAAAAACGTTCAATTTCAACTGTAATGTATTCCTTTTGTATTCTCTATACTACTTTACAGTGTTGTAACTAAGTCAAGATACTTGTGCTTTTCTTGAATATTTCAATTTGTTGCTACTTTGGACTTCTTCCCAACTACAATTCAGAGGTAGGGAGAAGGGGGTAAATTGAGCCAGTGGGTAAATTGAACCACCCCCTGTAACCAGGCAACGCCTTATAGTTGTAATCAAGTGACCAGAAATTATGCAAGCTCCACTCATTTCTCATTGCCTGTGAAAGAGAGATGCTCATTGTGGTCTGCTAAGTAAACATTTTTACAAAAAAACGTTTTTTGCTTGTCAAAGTAAATGTTCTAGATGTCAGCTATATCGGCTGTCATGTCAAAAAAAATTATCCAGGTTTAAACACATATATTGTATAAGTTGATGTGTTGGCAGCGTATTAAACCATGTGAACCATTAAGCTAAAGAAGACTGAATTTGATTGCTAGGCTATTTTTTCTAAAATGGTGGCTATGGGGTAAAGTGAACCGTGGGGTAAGTTGAGCCAGTTTTTCAATGGAGAAATGACTGAAAGTAGGCCAAGTTGATAATAAGAGCTCATTGTAGGCTACATTTAAAGTTGAATTTACCCTGTGTGTGATTGGTAAGATGTATGAAATTGTATCACCATTTGTATGATTACTTTTCCTTTTAACATGTTAAAACATTTTTTTTTGAAAAACTAAGCTTGTATTTGGTTTGTTATTTATTGTTTATAGTTACCTTTAAGATTTGTTGTAGGTATGCCCAGGTTTGAACCGTGGTTCAATTTACCCCCTGACCTGGATCAACTTACCCCTAACCCGGGGCAAGTTGAGCCACAAGACTTTTTTTTTTAAAGAAGTAATATTTTCACTGCCCTTGATCAAATATTAATTTGTATCATTGCCATTGATAGGAGACATCCTGAATTATAGGTGTGTGTTTTCATTTTTACTCTGTGTCATTTATCCTTGCTTAGAGGACAGCATAACAAAACAAATGGCTCAACTCTCCCCTATAATAGTGTACTTTTACTCCACTACATTTATTAAATACCTTTAGTTACTTTACAGATTTGGATTAATGATGTGAAATATAATCAACAATTAAATAAGACTTTAGTTACACCTTGAGTAGTAGTAGTAGTATTCGTGTATTAGTCCCCAAGGGGAAAATGGGTTGCAGCACATCACAGAGGCATTTAAAAAGGTAAATTAGAGTAGATTAGATTAGAGTAACATTCACAAGCTACCCTGCAGTATACAAAGTCATTCAAACTAGCTGCACCTTTACCAGCTTTGATAAACACAACGATTGATCAAAACATATATTATTCTGAAATGGGCCGATCTGCATAATCAGTAGCCTACTTTTACTTTTGTACTAGGCTATGTTTTGATTCTAATACTTTTGTACTACTTGAGTAACATTTTGATTGCAGGCCTTTTTCTTAAAAGAGTATTTCCTTTTCTTCTTCTTGATGACATATTTGTATATATTTATTGTCAAAGCATTTCATTTATTCATTGTTATCGGGATGTTACGAGCATTACATGGAATATAACTTAAAGTGTTTCTGAAGTGAATGACCTACAGTACCCTACTTTTAAGTACATCTTCAGCCTCTGCTACTTTAAATACACGATACATTTGGAGACAGGGCAACCATTGTTGTTTTTTGTTCTATCGCTGTAAAAGTTTCAGTTTCGTTTCTCTGTAACCGGGCGTCGCTTTAACTGTGAGGAGGAGATGTATCAAATCAGGTCAGTCTGCTGAACCAACTGGTTAGCTGACTTGCCGAAACTCATTTAAGTATGACTTTACTCATCTCTAAGTTTGTCACCAAGACCCTGTGCGACCACCATGGCTGCTTGGACTTCAAGCACCTTGATGAGAAGATTGCACAGTCTTTCACTGCTGCGCCTCAAGTCCTGCGGAGTGTCATTTTTGACGACGGTAAAATAGCCATTGAAGAAGGAAAGCAGAAGGCCATCGGCAGCCAAGTAATCAGCCCGGACAGTCTGATAGTGGCTAAAACCAGCCTGCGTCTCTGTCAGAAGAAACCCGGAGAGTGTGCACAGTGCGACGGGTTACACCTGTGCAGGTATTACGTCTGTGGAGACTGTACGTTCGGGTGAGTTGCTACTGTTGTGCTATAGCCTTCATTTTGAGGCTTTGTTATGTTGTCTTGTAAAGCAGTAGGAAATGCCTACCCTGAGTTGAAATAACGTGGTAGTAGTCGTACATATTAGTGTTCAATACAATTTAAATAAATGGGTGTCAACTGTTCAGGTTTAAACGCTTAATTTGTCAAGGCTAGACTATTGTATCATATGTTTAAAGGACGTGTATTGAGAAAGGAGAGAGAGCTGTAGAAGCAAAGTGGGGTTGAGTACTTTAAAATTTAAAAGGACACCCACACATGTGTTTTCACTTTTGTTTCTTGGTTGCAGCTCAACATTCCTCTTTCTGCTGGTTTTGTTTCACTTCGCGGCAGGACAACTGGCATCTTTAATGTGTTACCTTTGCATTTAACTTGGTGACCTAATACCCAGTAGCAGAAATGTAATCCAGAGTAGCCTACATGAAATCAGCTGTGGGGCTCTTAAAGGTGTATGCACAGTTGCACACAGATACAGTCAGACAGGATTGAACACATTTGATTGAATAACTTGCTTTGACACAACCAGAAATAATGCAGAAAGTCATCAGGACTCTTTGACCTATGCTCTATACAGCTTCATGATCTTCGCCTACAGCTCAATGTATTTACATTTTTTTTAAAGAAAAATATAAAACATTACATAGCTTGACAGTCTATTTTTGGCTGTGAAGGAATACAAACTAACTTGACATAGAAGGACTCAAACATGTGTAACCCTTTTCTTCTAGATCATTAAAAATGACAATAACTGTAAGTCCTTTTTTGGACCATGAGATGGCAGTAGTTTGCATCATAACATGAACCTGAATAACCCACTCTGTGAACTGAGCAAAGTGTAGAACACTTATAAAGCCTTGTATAACCCTCTCTAGACTGAAAGGGGTTATGGCCAATATTTTACTTGTAAGAAAAGTTTGATTTAAATAACAATATAGCAGAAAGTGGGAGTCATTATCGAGTTGATTTTGTCCCATATTAGAAAACGCATGTAAGACATGTTTTGACAGCAACCCAACTTTATTATGACAAAACATGAAAAGAAAAAACAATGTTTTCATCTCTAGGTGCCTGCATATTTTCAGAAGCCAACGTTTTTTCATTTATTTCCATAAAAAGCCTTTCACTGAGCTCTATGTTATCCCTTCTCTTATATTTCAGAGCAAAGTGTAAAAATCCCCATAGCCTGGCTTTTCCAAACAATGCAGAGCTTTTGAAAAAATATGGTCTTCAGGACTTGAAGGAGAAACAGTTGTTCCAGCTGTTACTGCAGAATGATCCATATCTGCTGCCTGAGGTAGGTGGTTTTAGTAGGCAGCTTTTCTGTAGAAAAAAAAAAATGCACATCCTAATGTTATAGTCACCCCTTCTAGATCTGCCAGCACTACAATAAAGGCAACAGTGTGCACGGTTCCTGCAAATTCACCACTTCCTGCACCAAGCTCCACATCTGCCTGCACTATCTGCAGGGTGACTGTAAATTTGGCTCCTCGTGCAAAAGAACACATACTGTTGATGCCAATGGAACGAAGATTTTCCGAGGATTCAGTCAGGAAAATATTACAAACCTTCTTCAGATCTACAGAAATAAATTCATCATCACGGGTCAACATGAGAGACAATCTTCTGCTGTTCTCGGTAAAGGACTTTAATAAATAAACGTTCTTAAGTGAGTTGTAGTCTTCGCAATATATTTGATTTTTGTGTGTCTACTCTCTTGCAGCGCTGCCAGTCGCGAGAACCCCGACTCAGCAACCATCTCGCAACAACCCTGGACCCCCAACTACTTCTGCTGGTCCATCTAAAGCCATAAGCGATGCAGAGAGGGATGAAATCTGTCTCTTCTTCATCCGCAGACACTGCAGCTTCAAAGGTAACTTTTCAAAATATTCGTAAAGAGAAGATGATGTTAAGGCTGCACAAAGTCATGATTCGCGACAATAGGTGGGATGTCAATTTTTGAAACCTAATTCACATTCTCATCATCATCAAAAATGATTACAATGACCATAGTGTGTTTGTTTCTTTTTAAGAGCAACTGTAAAAAGCAAAGACTTTTTTAATTAAGTCTGTTGAATACATTTTATAGGCCGGGACTTTGCCTCTGCCGAATATTGCCCTTAAGGCGATTTGGATATTTTGTTCTTGGCTCTTCGCCTTGTACACAAACTTGCTCGGATCAGTCATTAGCCTGCATGGTTTTTCATACCACTGCTACGCTGACGACACCCAATTAATTCTGTCCTTTCCCCGCTCAGAGACCCAGGTCGTCGCACGCATCTCTGCTTGTCTAGCTGACATCTCTCAGTGGATGTCTGATCATCACCTCAAGCTCAACCTTGACAAGACTGAGCTGCTCTTCCTTCCGGGAAAGATTGTCCCACTCTTGACCTAACAATCAACATCGGCACCTCAGTTGTTTCCCCGACTCAGACTGCAAGGAATCTGGGTGTGACCCTAGATAACAACCTGTCCTTCACTGCAAACATCGCTGCTACAACCCGCTGCTGCAGATACACGCTTTACAACATCAGGAGGATACGTCCCCAGCTGACACAGAAAGCGACTCAGGTTCTGGTCCAGGCTCTCGTCATCTCACGCCTAGACTACTGCAACTCCCTCCTGGCTGTTCTACCTGCATGTGCCATCCGCCCTCTGCAGCTCATCCAGAATGCAGCGGCTCGTCTGGTCTTCAACCTTCCTAAATGTTCCCACACCACGCCGCTCCTCCGCTCCCTTCACTGGCTTCCGGTGACTGCTAGAATCCACTTCAAGACAATGGTACTTGCTTACCATGCTGCGAATGGATCTGGCCCTTCCTACATCCAGGACATGGTTAAACTGTACACCCCACCAGCACGTGCACTCCGCTCTGCATCAGCCAAACAGCTCGCTGCACCCTCGCTGTGAAGGGGACCCAAGTTCCCATCACCAAAAACACGTGGGTTTGCTATCCTGGCTCCAAAATGGTGGAATGAGCTCCCCATTGACATCAGGACAGCAGAAAGCTTGCACACCTTCCGGCGCAGACTGAAAACTCATCTCTTTCGACTCCACTTCGAGCGATAGAATTACTAACAAAGAATTACTAACAGAGCACTTATATATTAATAAAGGACTGGCTTATCTAAAGCTAGTTGAGTAGAACTTGAAATGTTTCGCTCTATGAAACCTGATGTACTTATATGATTCTGTTTTCTTCAAGGTTGTATCTTGTTGGTCGAATGCACTTATTGTCGCTTTGGATAAAAGCGTCAGCTAAATGTAATGTAATGTAATATTTTACTAGTCCATATTGCAGTTTCGATAAAATGTTGATTCCTTGTGCAACCCTAGATGTTTAATGAGTGTGTCTCTATCACTGTTTTTCCCCAGAGAAGTGTGCTCGTGTCCATTGGCCCCGGCCTTATAGATGGCAGGTGTTAGACCGTGATGGTGTGACCTGGAAGGACCTGCCTGACATGGAAGACATTGAGAAGGCCTACTGCGACCCAGGACAGGACACAAGCTGCATTGAGCCACCAGCCGCCCCCTTAGGCATTTTGAGATACCTGTCATTAACAAGGTGCATGTCTGAAGAAAAAGACCACAATTAGAAAGTGGACAAAGTACAAAGTAGTAACAAGTGTTGTTATTCTCCCGTAATAGTAAGTCCTGCAATCCACATTTTACTTAAGCAAAATTGTAGAATTATTGCCAACAAAATGTATTTGAAGTATGAAAAGATAATCACTCTACACACTGGCCCATTTCATAATAATATATATTATATTATTGGATCGTAATTATTGATGTATAAATGTGTTGAATGCAGCCAGTAAAAAAGGCGTTTTCATTATAAACTGCTGGGTAGGTTACATTTTACTGATGGAACAGTTACGTTTTATAGATAACATATTTGTTGATGTAGGGTAGGAAGTGCATTTGACTATTGTTATTCAATATTTATTATTTAGAAATGTCTTGTGATTTGCTTACATTGCTTGCTTTCAGCTCGGCAGCCCCCGCTGGGCAGTCAGTAGACTTCATGACCATGACATACGGAGGGTCTCCAGTCCGCCGCCTGTCCACATCCTCCTCCGTCTCAAAGCCCCCCCACTTCCTTCTCACCACACAGTGGCTCTGGTACTGGAAGGATGAGAGCGGGAAATGGCTGGAGTATGGACAGGTCAGTCAAACCATAACCAAATATATCAGCTATATCTGCTATAGTGTACTTATATTTATTTATAAAAATGCCCAAAACAGTTTATGGTTTATCATATTTATTCTGACTATAATGTCTATATATTATACTTTCTTAATTTACACAACTCTATGGTCTCATAGTGTTCATACCCATGTATGCTGTTCATATTTTATATACTTTAAAAAATATGTATTTATACTATACATTACACTGCATGTTACTGCTGCATTTGCACTCATGGTTAGATACTCAGTGTATTTGCTTGTATCAGTACTCTTTGCAATGATAAAACAGTTGAATTTAATTTAATTCATAAAGAAGGTGCAGCTATGTGTCCTCTTACCCTTTATAGTACCCGACCGAGGCAACAACTAGACTTGGATTTGTTAAGCTCCTCTTCTAATTTCTTACTATTCAATTCCATCTCATCACTGGCCCTTTGTTCTGCAGGGAGATGGTGACAGGCCAGCCTCTGTGACCTCTCAGACTCTGGAGAATGTGTACCTGGCAGACAGAGATACTGAGATTCCTTTTGGTGCTGGCAACCACCAGTACATCCTCCACTACAAGAGTGCCCTGGGAGCACAGGGGATATATCAGCAGAATGTCAAGTTTAAGACCAAGAGGGAGGTCCGACGGAGGCCTGTCTTTGTGTCGGGTCATGACGTGGAGGTGAAGCTAAAGAGGTATTTATTATTGGTTTAAAATGGAGATTATGCTTCAAATCTAACATTGCTGTTTTGAAGTGCTCCTTGTCTCAAGTGACTTCAATAGTCAGAACATTCCTATGTGTGTCTCCCTATAGTGGGTCATCACCCAGCTCCTCCACAGCTGACAGTTTCCCCCCCAACTGGGACAAGACTGCCATACTGGATTTTGGACACAAGGTATCCTACATTAGAATATACTGTATGACAGAGGGCTGCTTTTCTCCCTGTTCCAAAAAAAGCAGGGTTTTTACGATTGTTTATTTATACATTTTAGCCCAATGGTTAAACAAAATATACAGTTTAATGAGCTTTTTAAAATTGTTTATAAGAGTATGGTCTATTGAAACAGGGTCACCATTTTGTTTTGTTGTGCCGTTCTCCGGGATGTTGGAGTAGATCAGCTGCTCAATCAGGGAAAGTGTAAACGGGGTTGCATCATTATATCTATTTAAAAGTAAAGAGGAAGGACGATGGGGACTTTAGTTCTGCAGTCAGATACATTCGGTGTGCAGTGAGGTGATGCTGACAATGCCAAATGCTCCTGATATGTTGCTGCTCCTGAGTGATGTAGAGGAGGAAGGAGGAGGCAGCTTGCTGTGTACTGCAGAGTTTACCAGATTTTCATAATTTTTTACTTCAGCTACATTTCATTAACTAAGTACATTTACTCAAGTATTGTATTTAAGTACACATTTGAAGTAGTTGAACTTTACATAAGTATTTTCTTTAAGAACCCCTTTATACTAGGGAATGTTGTACTTTTTGCTTCATTACAACACTCTTTAGTTACAATTTACTTCAACAACTCAGATTATTTTTGAAGTTGTTTATGATATTTAAGTAAACCACTGACAATGAATGGGCAGCAATTTACTTATTGCTTTATTATTTATTATACAGTCCCAGCTTTCAAGATGATCTGCTTTACATTTTTAAATAAATATTTAGCAACGAGTGTTTTTACTCCTAATACTTGAAGTAAATGTTCTTGATCATACTTAAATACTTTTACTTAAGTACGGTTCTCAGTGCAGTACTTTTACTGGTAATGGAGTATTTTTGCATTGCAGTATTAGTACTTTTAGTTAAGAAAAGGATCTACTTCTTCCACCTCTGCTAATTTTAGCTTGGTCCAGTTCTCAATCTGCCCTCAACTGAGGTGGCAGTGCTACACTCTGTAATATTTAAATGTGTTCTTGTCTTGAACATTGAATATTTATGACACTTTTTTTTGTTGCACTGTACTTTTATCTTCCAGCTCGTACTCCTCTCCAAATCTGGGAAGGAGTATCAGATGATTGAGTCTCTGTTTAAGCGCACGATGCCACAGAGTAAAATCAACAAAATACAGAGGATCCAGAACTCCTCTCTGTGGAAAATCTTTCAGTGGTAAATTGGCATTAAGCAGCTATACCAGTATTATTATCTCATGAATATATAATATGTATGTTTAAAATGAGTGATCACTTGTCTTGTAATAAGGAACCTGTATCGATGTTATCACCTGAATCTGCAGCTCCTCTCAGCCTTAGTGATTTTGAGCTAATATGGTACTGTAAACTGTACTGTTTTAGTGTCCTCCCACTGCTCTCAGGGTCTTGTGTTAAGCTGTTAAACAGTTTTAATTGAAAAAACCTCTAAAACAGCAGACACATTTAGAGATTAGCTGATGAATGTAGCGTAGCATTTAGCAATTCTCAGGAGTTGACCAAAATCATAGGGTTGAGAAGTTAATACATTTCTGTTTTCTACGTTGTGTTTTCAGGCAGAAAGAGCAGATGAAGATGAGGAATGGAGGGAAAACTGTGAATGAGCAGTACTTGTTCCACGGGACAGAAGAATCCCTGATTGAGGCAATATGTGAGCAAAACTTTGACTGGAGGATGTGTGGGGTCCACGGCACGGCCTACGGCAAAGGTAAAGCAGCCATTCCAGAAATGCAGTATGATGAATAGTTTACAATGTAGACCACAAAAGATATTTCTTTGCCCAAAATGTTCTGTGTTGCATTTGTGTTGTATATGTTCATGGGACTTCTGAAGCTTAACATGACGGTAGACACAGAGCCTTCACTATCACACTTGTCAGTATTAACGCTCTCTTGTTTTCTTAGGGAGCTACTTTGCCAGAGATGCGTCTTACTCGCACAGATATGCCACGTTGAAAAGTAAACAGAACAACATAATGTTTGTTGCTCTGGTGCTGATCGGAGACTACACCAGGGGGAGCAGCAGCTACGTCCGACCCCCACCCAAAGGAAGCGGCAAAGACCTCTATGACAGTTGTGTCGACAGCAAGAGCGACCCCAGCATCTTTGTTGTCTTTGAGAAACAACAGATCTATCCCGAGTATATTATCGACTACTCTTGAGTCACAATGCTGGGGTAAATCTTTATTATGGGATACTGTATACTTCAATGGAAACTGCCGGGGGCTTTGTTAAGGTTTGTGATGTTTAACACCGGTGGAAGAAGTCTTCATTATAGTTGTAATGCTACAATGCAAAAATACATATTAATAATAATACATTGGATTTCTATAGCGCTTTTCCTAATGCTCAAAGACGCTTTACATACAATTACAACAGAAACAGTACAACGAAAACTAAATATATGACACAGATTATCATTAAAAGTATTGAATGCAATATAATCATTGTATTAACTAGTATTGATATAATAGTTTGAGGTTAAGTAATTAGTAAAGTGTATCAGAAAATTCTTGCAGAATGTATAGAAACAAAAAAAAAGTATATTCTTGTGTTTAGTGTCTATTGCTGTCTGCTACAGGTCGTTGTTGTTGATCAATAAAGGAATCTGAGGGTCTGGTGTTATATGAAATTAGATTAAATCGCCTTGTTGTGTAGAAGATATATTACAAATTGCCAATAAAGTGAACAACGTATATAACAGAACAAAGAGTGATCTGATTTTCACATGTTAATATTTAATTACACACAAGTGCCATTCAACCCATTTTAAATGTACATCATTCAGAAAGGCATGTTCAGCCCTGTGCCTCTCATCATAGCAGCTACATGTATAATCATCAATTAATCACATCTTATTGTATACATTTACAATTCAAATTTATTCAGGGCTCTAATTCCCATGTTTCATAAAATAACTTCCAAATAATTGTCTAAAATTCTAAATAAGATTGACCATAATTTCAATAAAGTGTAAAGAATAATAAATGAGACATTTAATCAAATGTTTTTACTCCACGACTAACAAGTTCCATCTTGTTTACTATTGTGAGATATTTTATAAATGCTGAGTCATCAGAAAATAAAAACAGGAGGATTTCCTTTAAAACCACTCACTGTAAAATAGCAGCTCTCCTTTGAAGGGGTTTAAAGATGTAACGTGACAGCATTGTGTAAGACTGGAGTCAACAGCAGTAACTTGTAGAGACCATAACACCCTTTTAAATATTTAAATGCACTTGCATATCAATAAAATAAATTAATTCTACAGTGCAAGGAAGACAAATAGTTGAGGTGAATTCATTCATTTCACAGACTTTTATGCAGTGCGTCTTTATTCGCTCGACTCTTTTTTTTACTCACGTCTCGTCTTCAGTACCCTTTAAAGTTCACTCACCAAAAAGAAAGGCACTAACCATGCATTATCATCGAGAAATACAGCAGTGTTTCCCATACCATTGTCTTGGAGGGGCGCTAAATATATTAAATACATTTTTTAAATATATATATAGCACCAAATTGCAACTAATCTATATCTACTGTCACTTTTCACACGAAAATGTGCTCTTTTATCAAATAAACTAAACACTTTCATTTTAAGTTGTGAGTTTAGTGTTTTTGACCCTAAGAAACACTGATGCATTAATCAATAACAATAATCCACAGCTCCTCTCTCTGCTCCAGAGGGTTTAAAAAATATATATCCCAATGCCACCCCCCCCCGGCTCAGGCAGCACCCCCCTTCAAATGCAAAGTTTCAATCTTGTATAAGATAACTATTGAATATGTATGCTTTGTAACGGTTCATCAGGTTTGTACCGTCCATGGTGATATCTCTCTCTAACTGTCTGCTGGCGGAGAATTCACTTCGCCTTCTCCAGCGTCTCTTCTTTCAATTTTCACAAATATGCCATTTTTAGGTCCCAGGGTGCTTGCTGACTTCAACTCAAGAGGAACCTGAACAAAGACATGAAAACCATATGAAAAAGCAACATTTTAGCATATACTCTATATATAACCACGCATGGAAATAGATGAACGATTATCACATTTTGATTACAACCTTAGTAATTATAGACGGTTCAGTTGGTGCAAATTACAATAATTTAACTGTATTATTGATAATTAATTATAAATAATAATAATAATAGATTCAATGTGTATAGCGCCTTTCAAGGGACCCAAGGCCGCTTTACATGGTGAACAAACAAACAAACAAACAAAAGGGGCAAATAATAAAGTAAACAAATTAAATAAATAGCAGTAGGAATGGAAGCAGTGTTGATAAAACATGACCGCTGTGCTTTGGCCAGTGTTCTTGCAGTTCTGCTCAGTGTTTAAATGTGTCTCGTGTTAACCAATAATTTTTTAGATTTGTTGTTTTTAAGAGATTGTTATCCTTAGTGTTGGAACCCACCTTGGTCTCAGAGCAGGCCACGATGCTGAACTTGCGGAATATACGAACTAAAGCCATCTTCATTTCCAGTTGGGCGAGCCTCATTCCCACACAGTTACGGGGTCCGGCCCCGAACGGCAGGTATACGAAGGGATGTCGACTGGCCTTAGCTTCTGGTGTAAATCTAGAGATAAATGCAGGTATTTTACCACCTAACACTAACCCCAGATTTTAAACAATGAGTCACAGGTTGCAGTCTCTATAGTTTATCTCCTGTAAGAACAGCCCCCTACCGCTCAGGGATGAAGCTCTGCGGCTCGGGCCAGTGCTCGGGGTCCTGGTGGAGGAAGCCGGCGGGGATCTCCAGAGTTGCTCCTTTGGGGAGGAACTGTCCGTTCACCACACAGTCCTCGTCGATGTCTCTCGCAAACCTGTAGAGAGCAAAATACCATTTCATTTTGATTTGTTCCGTTCAAGGTATGCACAAACTCACTCACTAACTCTCCTGTTATCTCCATCAGAACAACCTTCTGGATCCGCACCAGTCTGGTTTCAAAGCAGGTCACTCAACAGAAACTGCCCTCCTCGCTGTCTCTGAGGAACTGCACACTACTAAAGCAGCCTCCCTCTCCTCTGTCATCAGCCTTCTGGGACCTGTCTGCTGCATTCGACACGGTGAATCATCAGATCCTCCTTCGCACTCTCCAAGAACTTGGAGCTTCAGGCTCTGCACTTTCCCTCCTCACCTCATACCTCAAAGACCGTACCTACAGGGTAACTTGGAGAGGGTCCGAATCCGACCCTTGTCAATTAACTACAGGGGTCCCTCAGGGCTCTGTTCTTGGTCCCCTCCTCTTCTCCCTGTACACAAACTCGCTCGGATCAGTCATTAGCCCGCATGGTTTTTCTTACCACTGCTACGCTGACGAGACCCAATTAATTCTGTCCTTCCCCCACTCAGAGACCCAGGTCGTCGCACGCATCTCTGCTTGTCTAGCGAACATCTCTCAGTGGATGTCTGCTCATCACCTCAAGCTCAACCATGACAAGACTGAACTGCTTTTCCTTCCAGGAAAAGATTGTCCCACTCTTGACCTAACAATCAACATCGGCACCTCAGTTGTTTCCCCGACTCAGACTGCAAGGAATCTGGGTGTGACCCTAGATAACAAACTATCCTTCACTGCAAACATAGCTGCTACAACCCGCTGCTGCAGATACACGCTTTACAACATCAGGAGGATACGTCCCCACCTGACCCAGAAAGCGACGCAGGTTCTGGTCCAGGCTCTCGTCATCTCACGCCTAGACTACTGCAACTCCCTCCTGGCTGGTCTACCTGCATGTGCCATCCGACCTCTGCAGCTCATCCAGAATGCAGCGGCTCGTCTGGTCTTCAACCTTCCTAAATGTTCCCACACCACGCCGCTCCTCCGCTCCCTTCACTGGCTTCCGGTAACTGCTAGAATCCACTTCAAGACAATGGTACTTGCTTACCATGCTGCAAATGGATCTGGCCCTTCCTACATCCAGGACATGGTTAAACCGTACACCCCAGCACGTGCACTCCGCTCTGCATCAGCCAAACAGCTCGCTGCACCCGCACTGCGAAGGGGACCCAAGTTCCCATCAGCAAAAACACGTGGGTTTGCTATCCTGGCTCCAAAATGGTGGAATGAGCTCCCTATTGACATCAGGATAGCAGATAGCTTACACACCTTCCGGCGCAGACTGAAAACTCATCTCTTTCGACTCCACTTCGAGCGATAGAATTACTAACAAAGCACTTATAAAGGACTGGCTTATCTAAAGCCAGTTGAGTAGCACTTGAAATGTTTTAGCTCTATGAAACCTGATGTACTTATATGATTCTGTTTTCTTCAAGTTTGTATCTTGTTGGTCGAATGCACTTATTGTCGCTTTGGATAAAAGCGTCAGCTAAATGCAATGTAATGTAATGTTCAATGTATAACAATTATTTACAAAACATGTCTCTGTAAATCCCTGAAAAGGAGCAGGGAGAAGAAAATAATATATACCTGTAATATACCTGTAATATATTACCTGTCCCTTTCTCAAAAAATAAATAAATAGAAATATTATTCTCATCAATCTCATCCTCAGTGATCATCTTCTGTCCTTCATATTTTCTTATTAACAGCCAATCATTGCAGTATCGTAGGAAAATAAGAGAGACACAAAACGTACAAAAGATACTTAGTTCCCACTTGACAGTTAAGGGAAAGAAAAAGAAAATGCATGTATTATTCCCTTTCTCTCCTCCATTTGATTTCTGTATTATTAAATACAAAAACTAAAACATATACTGTATGTTTGTATGTAGAGAAGTAGTTAACCCTGTTCATTCTGCAGAAATTATCTTATCCTCATTGAATGTTCTGGATTTACCTGAATCCTGGAGGGTAGAGGCGCAGTGTTTCACTTATCACCATGTCTAAATACTTCAGCTCCTGGACATTTGTGTAATCCGCTGACTCCTACAATGCAAGGAAGATAAGATCAAATCAGGACAATTTCAGTACATTTTAAAAACAGAATGAGCAAATGTGTGCATGAATTACATCTGAAACTTAAATCTTGTGGTTAGTAGCTGAAGAAAATGAGACGATATCAAACCGTAAGGCGTCACACCCACATGTCTGGTGTAGAACTTGTCCACCTCTTCCTGCACTCTGCGTTGACATTCGGGGTTGATGGCCAGGAGGTAGCAGGTGAAGGCCAACGTGTTGCTGCTGGTCTCGTAGCCTGCCAGCAGAAAGACAAAAGCCTGGCCCACAATCTCATCCTCAGTGATCATCTTTTTCTGTGGGCGCATGGTGGGGGGCTCCTGTGGGGACGGACGGTCGTCCTGATCTGAGGCCGACAGCTGGTTCTTCTGATCCAGCTCAGCAGCGTGCTTCTCTGAGTCAAAGTGCTCCAAAGACACATGCTCCTTGCTGGTTCGTGCATCCAACATCAGCTGGAGGAAGTCTCTACGCCTCTGCATACACAAGAAACCCAATTAACTCATTTTTAAAACATTGTTAAAACTAGGAAATGGTAAGTTTTATATACAGTATACATGATCTTATAAGCTTATTAAGTGCAGTGATTCCCGCAGAAATGAAATATACTTTGGGGGAATGACTTTTTTTTCACGGCGTGAAAAAAAATCTCCTCAGAAATCTCTCAAAAATTTAGGAGCGGGGCTAGTCCTGGTGAGCTACCCAGGCTGAGTGACAAGGTGGCATCCAGGAAACTGACATTTGCAGGTCACTGCCATCGACACCAGGAACTTCCAGCTGGCAAGTTAGTACTCTGGGAGCCAACACACGGGCACCGACCAAGAGGGCGCCCCACGCCAACGTACGTGGAGGTGCTGAGGAAGGATGTGGGGGTGGAAAGCTCCACAGAGCTGGCCGAGTGTATGGAGGGCCGTGAGGATTGGCGAACCCGTTGGCAAACTCGTCTAAGGACGACCTAGTAGTAGTAGTCCTTGATTGGCTCAAGTTCACACTTTTTTAGGGGCGGGGCTAGTGATGTTGTCCCGGGGATGCTTAGGAGTTGATAAAGGAGATAATCCCACTGACGTCATCATTTGATTCCAAAAGTGGGTCTGGACTCGCGCCCATAGAGGCTGTTTACCAGTGTAATGGCTCCCCCCAAAGTATAATTTATGGGTGGCTCCCCCCAAAGTATAATTTATGGTTTTTAAAGTTTTTTTTACTCACTGAGCACTCATTGCCACCAATGCAAATGCAAATGAGTGCTCACTGAGTTAAAAAAAACAAAAAACACACAAATTATACTTTGGGGAGAGCCATTATACTTTGGGGGCCCCCCAAAGTATTAACATGCTGTGGGAATCACTGAAGTGACAATGAGCTTCACCTGCTCAGGAGGCTGCTCCTCTCTCTGCTGGATGATCCTCTGGATGCTATTCGTGAAGAAACTATTCATCTGGTCACGCCTTTTGTTTGGGATGAGTCCCGCCAGAGGAGCCATGATGAATGGGAAAGCAACTGGACACACAAATCAACTATTTACATTTAAATACAACTATAACAATCTATTTAGTTTGTGATTAAAGTTCTCCAAATGCAATAACCCCATTTATATATAGGGAAACACGCCTCTTCTGGTCTATGTTTTCATATTTTGGTTACTTGCTTACATTGCTTTCCTGTATAAATGCCTCTAATAAACACATACAAATAAAAATACAAAGAGATTGGACTGACTGAAGAACAGCATGATGGGCCTGAAGAAAGAGAAGCCGAAGAACATCTGAGCATGGCGGACAAACGGGTCGTCTGGGTTTTTCTGAGAGTCCACCTGAGTTCCAAATGCCACACTGGCAATGACATCCATGGTGAAGCAGCCGAAACATCTGCAGAACACACACAAACTAAAACATCAGGCCGTGAAGATGATTATATAATACTGATTGCCTGTGTTCATTCGAGTGTGATCACCTGTGGATGTCAAAGGCTTCTGCTGACTCAGCGGAGACTTCCAGGTTCGTCATCAGGGCATCGGTGGCTGTGTTGATGAGCGGAACCATCTACAGGAACAATGAGAGACACTGATATTCGTCAAAGCTGCCAGTGAATACAACACGGATCGGATAGATTGGTGCAGAAAGAATACTGTACTCGCGAGCTGCTCATTTGGTATTGATTATTTCAAAGAACTATTGATCATAAAAACATAAATAAAAAACATGTCCCTGCATTACTTTCCCCTCTTTAGTATGCTTGTGACAAAAAAACTGATATCAGAACCTAGCGCCTAGCCAACCTCCACATCAAACAGGTGTTTTTTTAAAGGGGCCCTATTATGCTTATTTTCGGAAGTAAATAAAGGATTAAAATGGAGGTGTTTCAGGCAGATGTTTGGGTTTGCAGACCATTTACATGTACAAAAAACTATATCACACACTACGGGGAAGGGAAGACCCCAAGGAAGCATAATAGGGCCTCTTTAAAATGACCATTCTTTTGAAAAATCTATTGACAAGTCATGATCATTATGGGTACAGTTAAAATGTAACAAGAACGTTTGCTATTGTAAACAATTAAAATAGTTTGTGACCTACTAATCACCAATCATTTGGGAAAGGTGCCACAGACAGATAAAGAGCACACTCAGACTTCTGTACGCAGTTGAAAAAGGCATTCATAGATATAACAGTCAATACACACGCTGCATGGACGTAGTCACACTGTGGGGATGACTATTCAAAGTTAATCCCGGCTGAAGAGAAGTTTAAAGGATAAATAGTGTGATTAAGAGGTTGATATGAAAAAGATAAAGATAGGTCATTCAATTCAATATTTTTGATTTACCAATGAAGGAAGAAAATTACTTGATCAGATATCATTCAAAGTCAAAATGTAGACAGCAAAGAGAATTTAGATGGACCATGAACTCAAAACGCCTTGGAAATAATTTCTCTTTTTCAACAAAGAAGTCTTTCACTCCCTCTCCACTCTTTTCTCCTGGACTAAAATATTGTCTCCAAAATGTACAGATCTGATATTTACTGCAGATCAAAGCAGAAGGTCTGCGCTGCCGTAAATTCATTCAGAGACAAGCTTATCAGCGGTACCAGGACACCACTCTCCACCCTTAGATACAAAAACACTTCTCGTAGTTACACCAACTTCAGCCTTTAGTTATACGAGAAACTGATATTTCATTATAATCATGTACATAATAATAACATTGCCCAAGAAAAAAAACGTGACCTTAAAAAAGAAACGGAAATTATTTTAATATTTTACAAAACAGTAAGAGCTCTATTTCCTTCAACTCCACTTCTTTCCCTCCATCTGTAACTGTTTGGGTAAAAAGGTTTAACTTGTATGTCTGTGGGCTGTTTCTTGTAGACATTAATGATCTGAACTTCTATCCTGCAAATTTCAATACCACAAAAGCATTTAAAAAGTGGCAGCATCTAATGGGCGTTCACTCTTATCTCACCTCTTTCATCTTGGCAGCGCTGAAGGACGGGGTCAGGATGCTCCGCACTCTCTTCCAGCGTTCATTCCTCAGCATGAGCAGGCAGTCTGTCATGGGCTTGGAGGCAAAGCGAACAGTCTACACAGAGAGAAAGGAGAGAACAAAAGATATATGCACTTATGTCATCATTAAATCATAGAGAGAGCACAAAGTGTACATGGGAATGTTTTCTTTCATGTCCTCACCATTCTGTTTGGGAAGCTGCTGAAGTCCCTGACCATCACCTGTCTGAGCATGTCAGGGTCCGCTATCACCACCACCGCTCTCCGGCCCAAATAATACCTGAAATATACCAAATGGAGTTCATCTTAATGCTTCCACCATGGGTATTTACAAAAGAAGTGTAGGTTTTGTTATACAATGTGACAGAACTAAAAATGTTCAGAGCATCATTTCATCAGATGCTGATACAGAAAGTATTTCTAATATTTACCCACAAACTCTGCCATGCGTCTTTATCAGATCATTGATAGGGTTGAAAAAACCCTTAAACGAAAATAAAAAACAAGATCAGAACAGATGAAAAAAATAGCACATCACCCATCAACTCTTTTTTTGTTGTAAAATAACTCCATGTTAGCGACAGATCACTATTTGGGTTGTTGTCAGTATGACTACAGTATGATGTGACTGTGGGAGATGTATATATTTATAATTGATAGCCAACTTGTTGATCAAAAACCTATGACAAGTAAATTATATCTAACAAAATGGACAAGGATGATGATGAGGAAGGTCCCACTTCCATATCATTTTGTAGTTAATCTCCGGGAATAAGATCAACCACTTTTAAATTAAGCATTAAGATATATTATACTAAACAATCTGCATTAAAAAAGATTTCAGGATGGCTTTTGCTATTTAATGTTGTTTTAAGTAGGCTGTTGTGCAAAAACCCAAATTGATAATGGATGTTCAATTCATTACAATCAGTTATCCGTTTTCATAGTGCTGATCACTACCCAGCCAAGCCAGTAGAGGTCACTGGCTAGCCAAGCTAGTGCTGGTAGAAGAGTAAATAATCAGAGTGCAGTGGTGGAGGTATAAAGAGAACAGTAGTAGTGCAGTAATAATATGTTGGAAGGAAGATTTTGCTTACATTGGTAGGTAATATGTTTCATTGTCCAAACCAAATCTGACAGAAGTTGAAGACAAAAGAGGTCATCTTACCTGACGAAACATGAATATGTTGCCCAGGAAAGGCATTGGCTTTGGGTGTTTGATGCCACATCGTGAAAGGACTGAATATGGGTAGATTGAATACCTAGAAGACAGTGCACAGAGTTGTATCGATGAATGAAAATAGCGCTGTTAAGAGTCGGCAAAACAATAGTGGAGTACAATCAAATCTCCGGTTGGTTCCCTGGTCAACAATATTATAAAGTGTTCCTTCAAGAACCTCATCTATCTGAAACCCAGCATGCAAAGCTGTAACAATCAGATCTGGATCATCTGATGAGTGAGGAAGTTGCTTATCTGCATTTCAAGAAGGAATGGGCTTTATATTATTAGTATATTACACAATATTGACTTAATTCCCAATGCAGCAACCCAACACAGAGGTTTGAAGTATTCACTCACCAGTAAAGCAGACCCAGGAAGATGAGGCCGAGGCTAAACGTCACCGTCAGTCCACTGGCCTTTATGTGGAAAACATCTAGATAGTCAATTAAAGCCTCCATAATGTAAAAACTCCTCTCAGTTCTCCACTGCCAGCATTATGTCAAGGCACCTGGAAAGAAGGACAGAGAAATAAATCAGGTCGGTGTCTATCCATTTATAATAAATACTAAACAAGTAGAATACATCTCAAATGTCACAATATTTAAAAGCCCTACTTCTTCAAGAGAAGAAAGCATCAGTCGCATCAGTCACATCATATATTTTGGTGGACTATGCTCTCAGGCTTTTTTGTTTTGTATCAATAGTTGTCTGGTTTACCATAAACACATGTTAATGATTTGTTCAAGCAGCTTTGCTTTTGTTGTGTTCACCTTTCACCTCAAATGTTAACAATGGGTTCCTTAAATACTGAGCTTTGTGTGTGCGTTTGGATCCTCTCAACATGCCACAATTCAATAGCAAACACGTAAGAATATTGTTTTTACAACCTGACTACGGATCCTTAAAAAGTTAACCAATCAGCCTACATTTATTTGAGGTGAAATACAGCGTTTAAATACCCAGACGTCACTGTAAGTCATATGTGATGCTAAGTTACTAGCTACAACAAAATATGGCATATTGTATGACTCACTCTTTAATGTCTCTGCAGCACGTCGTCTAACTGTTTTCATGTAACGTTATCATGTGATCCCGCTTCTTTATAAGACATTAGCAAACATCAGTCCATGGTCATACTGCTCGTTTTCATAATAGTCCTCTTCGTCCTGTAATAGTTCGCAGCACCAGAGACAGCTGAGGCTCATACTGCCACCTACTGGACGGGCAGCGTTGTATAACTCATGCAGCAACATGTTACTTTGGCGCCCCCCTCCGGACAAACAACGGCTTTGTTCTTCAGCTGTTTTGTGTAATCCAAAAACAGCACTGTGTTTCCTCCATTTATAATACTTTAGTAATGAATCATGATCATAACATCCCCACATCTTCGGTTTCAAAGTGTTTTGGTACGTGAGCAGAAGGCATCCTTTTGTTTGTCTTCAACCCAAAAATACTGATTTATTCATGAATGTATTTGGTATAGGCTATCTGTGACCTGCATTGCGTCAGGTCAAATAACCTTTGCTGTGATATTATCACAACATACCGCACGCAGCCTGTCAGGAGTTGGTTCCTAATTATACTGGAAGCTATGTGTAAATTACAGTCCTACGTTTCTTCTTACCATGATTGATTCGTATTGATTTTAAATGTAGTGTGTATCTGTGAGGTTTGATCATCTCTCATGGTTTTACTCCTCTTTCTTTGGCTGTTTCTCAGAACTCATGGATATATATCAAAGCCTTAATATGGATATGGACTGATTAAAAAAATATATATATGTGTGTGTTCTGGGTTTTACAAATAATCCATAAGACTCAGTTCTTATACGACTTAGCAGCATTCTAGCCACTATATATTTGATGACACCTGAAGTTAATACACTTTTAAAACAACTTCACATTATCTAAATAAAAGGTATTTAAAAGACATCTCAAAACAGAAAGATTGATTTCCAGGTGTTTTATTGAATTCAACAACAAAACCGTGAAAGTGAGAGATCAGGGTGATACCGCTGCATCCACTCTCAGGAGACCCAGGACTTCCAAAGACACAGGAGGAGTTCTAAAAGAAGAAACAAAAATGTGTTTCTACTTATTATTATTATGTAAGAGTTCAGCATATGTTAACTCTTTAAGTGTCTTTAAGATACTTACATAGACTGAAACACAGACGACTATCTCTCCAGAGGTAAGCCTGGATTTGCTGCAGGAACACTGTGTCTCTGTATGAGAAATGAATGAAACGTGTTTAACAGAATGAGCAACAAGTTGAATTATTCAAAAAAGTAAAGTAAGACTTGTCGGAAATGTCTGTATTGTTGTCATTAGGGTTACCTGTCTGATCTCCAGTTTGTCCTGCAGGTCGGATGGGAGCGGTTCCTGGGTCGTCAGGGTAACCCTGCATGTAGTAGGCCTACTGCACTTTATGTCAGTCTGAGGCTCACACTTACCTTTTACTGTACAGTGAACAGCAGGCTCAGGGGGTGGAGTGCAGAAGAGAAATATAAAGAATAGTTAGTAAATAGGAAAAGTGACAAACATGTATGAATGATGGGGCTGTCCCGAATACCATTCTTCGGGCTCCGGATAATCAGCAGCGAATATTCGGCCCACGCAGCGAACCGCTTCAACACGTGTATTTCGGTTTATTCACGGCATTCATTTTGTTATTCTACAGCAGTGGTTATCAAACTTTTTTCAATAATGTACCCCCTTTGAAAAAAAGATTCAGCCAAGTACCCTCTGATTCTTTCACACACAGTGACGTCACGAGCTACCCACAATGCAACACGCGCCATATAAATATATATAAATGCGCCATTTTCCTGGAGGTGCTAATATCCTGGAAGTGCAAATATAAACAGCTAGCTAACTAGCCAGGCAGAGCGCACTAGGTTTTTTTTCTGAATTAACGACCGAAGAAATTGCTGCATGTCTTCGGATTACATCTCTGGACTTGAGGGGTGCTCTAGGTCGTTACCAGCGTAAACTAGAGCTGTGTGGGTTGTTACAGACTGCCTGCAGATGTATGGAAAAACGACAGTGGCCTTCGTCGATTTTGGCTGCATCTACGTCTATCTTCTGGAAACACCAGGTGAATACCCCACTTGTCACAATAATATTATCATGCCATTGCATATATGTGGTATTTTAGAGTTGACTAGATATTGATTAGGGCAATAGACTATGATATTCAGTACAGGAAGCTTAGCAACACCTAGACGGTGTACGGCTGCTTGCACCTCGCGTAAAACGGCGCAGACCGGAAGTACGGTGTCGCGCTCGGCCCAATACCCGTATGTGTGTGTGAAAGAATCAGCGCAAACACAATTTGTTAAGGAAAAAATGCTTATAAAGAGGTACAGTAGCCTACAGTGCTGCACCATCAGAGTCTGATTTATTAAAACAACAACCTTGTAACTGAGAAACACTTAAATGCTACATTTAAAATGTTTACAATCCATCACTAAATTCATGGCAAACCAATTTTAACATCATGCAATAACACTAAGACGACATTAGTTGCATTGAACTGATCTTTTTAATAAGTTGTACGTACAATTTAGTGAGAAACATGGGCTTGTGCTTCACTGAGGATCTTTGTCATTCTCAGTGACAGGGAGGCAACCTGCAGTTATTACACTTTGCGTTTTGAAATATGTGTAACTCTGTTAATTATAAAACCCACACTGCTCAAACTTTGTTACTTTTCCTAAAATTGGTATATTTATTTATTTTGGGGTGTGGGGAATGAAGAGAAAAAGATATATGAGCATTTTATGAGCATGGGATTTTGACCCCTCCTATATGCATAATGCTGCGCTATACTTTGCGGCCACACGCCGTTGCCAAGCAACGCTTATTGTTTAGGTGTCCTTTGATAAGCAGGCAGTCATATAATTAACTAGAACTAGCTAGATCTGATAGATTTGGACATAAACGCGAGTGAAGTCTAACCGGAAGCGAGAGAGAGATCAGAGATCAGATCAGCTGCTGCTGACGGAGAACACGCAGCTCTGCATGATCACAGCTCCGCCGCTGTGACGGACCGTTGAGTGGAGCAAAATTAAATACACTAAGAGTTAGACCTAACACACTTAGATAGTTTATCTACTCTGGAACTAGCTAAACTAGTTATAAATATATTTATTCTTTACTGTCGGGTCACTTATTACAGGTTCAGCGAGCTGCACGAGACTGACGGGCTGTCAGGAGAGGGAGAGGAAAAGAGAGCACCCCGATTATTGTTCCCATTTTATTATCCAGAATCACTGTAAACCTTTGAATAAAGTAGTTAATCTACTATTAGTAGTTTGTTTAAATGCATTACTTATGTTTTTTTCCTTCTCATTAACATATAATAAATCTCACGTACCCCCTGCAGTACTCCAACGTACCCCTAGGGGTCCGCGTACCCCCATTTGAGAACCACTGTTCTACAGTATTGTTGTTTTATAGTTATTTGTTAATGTATACAACCCAATTTGTGTTCTTTGAAATTGAAAAGGATATTGCATTGTGTTTGTTACTTTCGTTGCAGTTGTATATGTCTTAAGTGTAATTTGGCTTGGCTTCCTATTTTGTATGGACATGCTTTTATTTTGAAGGGGAGTTAGCACTGTTGACAGGAAGTTGTTGTTGCTATGGAAACAACATGACGGAAAAAACGAATATCCGAATAACGAAATTGAAACCCGAATAGTACTCCAATTAACGAATATTCGTGTACAGCCCTAATGAATGAGTGTAGCTTACAGGGTGCAGACAGTTTACATCAAAAGATTACATTTGCTTTCTTTGCATTAAATCCTACTGTAGTGTTTTTATCCACAGAGAATCGCAGCAGGAAGGAGGTAGGTAAGAGGTAAGAGAGAGGTAAGAGGAATTATAAATGTTGAGTAAGACAGATCATATTTCAATTTTGAATCAATGATATCACAAAAACATTGTTTTCTCTAGCTCGCACTTACTTTGATGTCCACAGTGAATGGCAGCAATCTCTGAATAAAAAACACTTATTACATTTATAAAGACAAACTTAGATTAGTGGAAATATAAAGACACACTTAGATTAGTGGAAAGACAAACAGGGGTAACATGCAGTGGATATATTTTTTACTTTAAGTCAGACATTTGTACTCATGTTTTTGTCCAAGGTGGAGTATGAGTAAGTAATGGTTACTAAAACATGATCTGATCTTTTTAAAAAGTATGGATAAGCATACAGATATTACACACAGTAACACATATTTCATAATTTGACTTTCCATTGTAGAAAATGCCAAATCACCTTGTCAGAAGTTCTTACTTACCTTTTTTCGTCCACATTGAACAGCAGAGTTTCTGTGATTTACTAAACAGGTGATATAATATTATAAACAAACAGATTTAGTGTACAGTTTCGAGGTAGGTAACATGATATTACTTTCTGTGTTTTTAATAATAAACTATTTCAGGATACTTTCTCTACAAGACAGAAGCTCATACTTATCTTGTTTGTCCTTAGTGAACAACAGCAGCTCAATTGGTGGAGTAAGATAAGAGTGAATTAAGGACAAAGATGGTAAGCAAGACATATGATCTCTGAATGATTGTATATTTAAAATATCATATATTTTATAAAGTTACTGTACCTTTTTTGGCCATATTGACAGGAAGGACCGTTTGAAGTGGGATTGTTTGAGGTAATTCTCCAGTCAGTGTATTTCCTCAGTAGATGGAGGTCGGCACGTCCCGAGCTTGAGCACGGAAGTAGAGCACTGTTGTGTACCTTTGTGGGACTTTGGTGGATTCAAACTAGAGAGTTTAAGTCACACAATTACATATACTAACTAACAGAACGTGGCAACGTTAAACCAGCAGCTCCTGTGGTCTGCGAGGGCAAAATGACTGTTTTGTGACTTGCTTCAGTTTCCCCATTGGAAAGGGAAGGTAAACTGAGTTAAAGTATCTATACAGCGCATATAGCATTGCTTAAACTGAAATAACTTTTTTAAGGTGGGCCTTTCTTTTAGATGGGAACTGTTACACACACACACACCCCCCCCCCCCCCTCCACAGAAATACTTTGCTTTTGCTGTGCCTATAAGTCCTGTCTGCTTCTTCAAACATGGGGTGTGCACTGTGCAGGCTGCAATCTACTGTAGCTAAGACCCTGATCAATACTGTACAACTCCACTTTAAACT